CTGCCAGCACCACCCTCCCCAGGCAGGGTCCCCGTGGGCTCTGCTGCCAGCCCGGTGTGCCGGTGTTTAGGGCGGGAGGGACAGGGAGGGCTGGCTTGGTGGGGACACAGCTGGGGTGGAGGTGATGCTCTAGAGAGAGGAGCTGCACGGGGCTGCTTGCTGGGCTCCCCAAAAAAATGAAGGGGAGAAGGGTGGACAGAGCTCAGAGGGAGGTTTTGGGGTGCCTGGATGAGCCCCACTCTCCTGCAGCTCTCACAGGGGTGTTCCAGCACATGCAGAGCAGGATGCAGCCCTGAGGGGACCCTGCAGGGCTTCCCCTCTGCCCCATGGCAGTGAGGGACTGACCCCAAGGACGCCTTCTGGAGCATGCCTGCTCCTCTGCTCCCTGGATTTCCCTTCCCCTGTCTAGGGAAAGGTGTCCCTGCTCATGGGGAGGGGTGGAACCACTGGGTCCCTTCCAACCCAAACATAAACTCCAGCTTCTCCTCATTCCCACATCTTCTGCAGCCACCCACAGCTCCCTGCAGCCAGCTGAGCTGCTCTGGCCCCCTCCATGACTCCAAGGAAGCCCCCAGAGGTCCTTGTTCCCAGATCCAGCCTGGAGCAGTGACACCACAGATGAGCCTTCAGGGAGGTCCTGCCCAGCCCTGAGATGTCCAAACCCAGCAGAGCCTGTCTGGCACAGCCGTGGTTCTCAGGCACTGCTGGGAATGCAGTCCTGGGGAAAACAGTCCTGGCAGGGTTAGGCCAGGAGCCAATGACCCCAGGGAAACACTGAGGTGTTTTGATGATTATTCTGCCTCAGCTTAGGGGAGCTGGGTGCATAAACTGTGCCTGGTGTTGTGGTTCAGGTGGTTTCCCGCAGGAGCTGTCCCTGCTCATATCCCACACCATCCCAACAGCCCCCATTCCCCTGTTTTTAGCCCTGTGTCCTGCTGGAAGGTGACAGGGCAGTGGTGGTGTCATCCCCACAGTCCCCAGGCACCATCAGGAGCCCACATGTGCTGTCCCACATCCATCCCTCCATCCATCCATCCATCCATCCATCCATCCATCCATCCATCCATCCATCCATCCATCTGCCTGATAAACCCCTAATGAACCTCCCAACTCTGCCTCTTCCCAAAGAATAAACCAGCCCTGGCCCAGGCGGTTAATATTTAACTGAATAAGGGCCATAAATATGGAAAATGGGACTTTTAATTAAATAAGCAGCTTTTAAAAGGGCCCTTGGGCCGAAGAGGCTTTTGTTTAAATATGATTGATTTGACACGTCCTTTCCCTCCCGCTTCCTCCTGCTCTCTCCCTCTCCTGCTTGGTGCAGGGAAGGGAAGCAGGGATTGGGAGCAGGGATGGGGAGCAGGGATGGGGAAGCAGGGATGGGGAGCAGGGATGGGAAGCAGGGATGGGGAGCAGGGATGGGAAGCAGGGATGGGGAAGCAGGGATGGGGAGCAGGGATGGGAAGCAGGGATGGGAAGCAGGGATGGGGAGCAGGGATGGGGAGCAGGGATGGGGAGCAGGGATGGGGAAGCAGGGATGGGAAGCAGGGATGGGGAAGCAGGGATGGGGAGCAAGGATGGGGAGCAGGGATGGGAAGCAGGGATGGGGAGCAGGGATGGGAAGCAGGGAAGGGAAGCAGGGGTGGGGAGCAGGGATGGGGAGCAGGGATGGGAAGCAGGGATGGGGAAGCAGGGAAGGGAAGCAGGGGTGGGGAGCAGGGATGGGGAGCAGGCTGCAGCACAGTCCTGCTGCAGCACCCTGCGCCTGCCTGTGCCCCCAAACCTGCCCACAGCCTTGGGCACCAGCTCTGGGAGCGTGGGGGCACCTGGATGGGCACCCAAGCACGGGCTGCTCATCTGGTTTGTAGCCCTAAATGGGAGCAGGAGGTTTGCCCTGGCTGCTGAGCCACCCCAGGGGTATTGGGGTGCCCCTTGCACCCCCTGGGGCAGCACTGACCCCCCCATCACGTAACCCTGTGATTGTCCCCATATGGAGGATGTGATGGGTCCCTTACAGAGGTGACAGGAGGGAAACTGAGGCAGGTGGCAGCTGGGCAGCACAGCTGGGGGAAGGGAAGGGACTTTTCCTGGTGCTTTGGGGCTGGATTCACACCCCAAAATTTCCTCACACACTCACACACAGACTCTGGGAGCAAACATGGAGTAAAACCGGGTCTTAATGACTCTGCTGTCCCTGACATTTGGGCACTGCCTGCTGGAGCAAGCGTCACTAATTACTTCTTCCTCAGCCAGGCACGAAGGGAGCAGGGGGGTCAGGGAGTGCCAGGATCTTCCCAGCCTTGGGGAGACCCTGGGGGGGTGGCTGGGGTGTGGGGGGCCCTGTCCAGGCCAGCAGTGTCAGCCCCTGGGCTGAGGGACCCAGCGTGCTCCCAGGAGCAGCACCAGGCCTGGCTCTGCGAGGAACAGGAGTGGGGTGAGCCCCTGGGGGGCTGAGGGGCAGGAATCCTTGGGAAAAGGTGGGAAAAGCACCAGAGCTGCTCCCACGTGGGCAGGTGAGGATGCAGTGCCCATCCCTGGCTCCTGTGGGGGGCTGAGGGGCAGGAATCCTTGGGAAAAGGTGGGAAAGGCACCAGAGCTGCTCCCACGTGGGCAGGTGAGGATGCAGTGCCCATCCCTGGCTCCTGTGGGCACAGAGAAGCTGGGAAAGGATGTCCCCAGATCTGAATGGCCCAGACTGAGGGACAGGGACAGAGCAAGAGAAGAGGCAGCCCAGGGAGGGCTGTTCTCAGCTGGTTCCTCCTGTGTTTTCCACCTGTGGTTGTCCCAGTCCATCCCCCATGGATGGCACAGCCCCCAGGCTGCCATGGCAGGTTTCAGCTGAGAACACACAGTTAATTATCTCCACAAACTCGGGGCAAGCAAAGTGTTCCCTGGGCCCAGACCTGTTGCTTGCATGGGATTTCATGAGTGAGGATGTGAAATGGGAAAAAAAAAAAAAAAAAAAAAAAAAAGGGAAAATGTGGAAAAGAGGGAAAAGAGCAGGTAAGGATTCACAAAACTTGTGGGTATCCTTGGGTGTGGAAATGCCCAGCACGAGGTGCCCAGGGCCAGACTGTGCTGCTGAGGGTGCTGTCCCACAGAAATGTCAGTGGGATCCCCTCAGGCTGGGTGATCCAGGGCTGAGGCCTCTCCCTGGGGAATGTGCCCAAACTCTGCCCAGTGCTGGGTCCCCAGAGGTCTGGGAGCAGGCAGGTGTCCCTCAGTGGTGGCACTGCTGGATATTTCCAGGCACCCTGGGGCAAACTCCAGATCCTAATCCTTCAAACCCATCACTAAAGATTTTGTGTTTTCCCTTAAAAGGAGCTGAGGCACAGCCTGGATGAGTTGGTGATGAGCTGCTCCCTCCCAGGGCTCCTCTCCTCCAAACCCCCCTCTGGCACCCCCAGGTTTGGGTGCCCATTCCAAGGCACTGCAGTGTCCTCATTTTTCTCCCTCTGCAATCTGGGCACGTCTCAGCCCTGGTGTGCAGCTTCTGAGCAGCAAAACATCCCTGAATCCTGGTGTGCCCTTCATCCCATCTTGTCCCAGCCCTTCCCTCCAGGTGCCAGGGCTGCTGGGAGGACAAGGGAGGGATTTTGGAGGGGCAGCTCAGGAGGTGCAGCCAGGGGACAAACCTGGGCAGGGGTTTCTCAGCTCTGCTCATCTCCTGCTGGTGCCACCTGAGGGTTTAAAGGTTTTCAATGCCTGAACAGATGACTTGAAAAGCAAATGATAAACCCATCCCAGCTGGAGATGGGAGAAAGCCTTGGCCCATGGGTTGGGAAGGAGTGTCCTGGATGGACCACCATGAGTGGATCAGTGTGACACTGGAGCCTGGCTCTCAGCATCATCACTCTGAGTCCCCCTGACCTCCAGGGATGCTGTGGCTGCAGCATTTTTGGATGCTGAGGGCTCCTAAAATCTCCCGCCTCCCAAACCCTGAGCCAGCCCATCTGATGTGCTCAGCCCTGATGGAATCAGTGACATTTTCATGGATTCAGGCTCAAATTAACCTCGGTGAGAAAACCAATCTGGCCAGAGGCACCACCCAGAGGAGTCTGATGCCACCAGCAGATCCCAGCACCGGGCTGCTCCTGGGGGCTGGAGGCAAAAGGCAGAGCTCCTCCTGGCACTGCAGAGATAGAGATTTTTTTTTTTTTTTTAAGAAAAAAAAAAGGGGGGGGGAAGGGGGTAAAAAAAGGCCCCATGTTTGCAGCCAACACGTGTAATCTGTTGCAGCCCTTGTCAGACAAAACAGTTTTGCCGTAAGACAGCGATTCCCAGAGGGGAAAGGGGCGAAGTGAAAATACTTTATCAGCTGCCTACATATGTAAAGCAGTACCCTGGTTGAAAAGCAAAGCCTCTTTCCCTTTGAAAGCTGGGAAGGGAGAGACGGGAGGCGACTGCCTGGGAGCGGGGACAGAAATGACACAGGCACAAAGCCCAGCACAGCAGAGCCCAGGCCTCCCTCCTAAACTGCTCTTATCTCCCTATCGGCCCCAAAAACTACCTGGCTGTGGAGAAGAAACAAAGGCAAACAAAACCCAGATGTGGCTCAGCTTGGGAAATTAAAAATATGGTTTGTAATGTACAGGAATTATTGCTCTTATTTCCCTATCGGCCCCAAAACTGCTCTTATCTCTCTATCGGCCCCAAAACCTACCTGGCTGTGGGGAAGAAACAAAGCCAACCAAAACTCAGACGTGGCTCAGTTTGGGAAATTAAAAATATGGTTTTTAATGTACAGAATGTGGTTTTTAATGTACAGGAATTATTGCTCTTATCTCTCTATCGGTCCCAAAAAATGACCTGGCTGTGGGGAAGAAACAAAGTCAACCAAAACCCAGACGTGGCTCAGTTTGGGAAATTAAAAATATGGTTTTTAATGTACAGAATGTGGTTTTTAATGTACAGGAATTATTGCTCTTATCTCTCTATCGGTCCCAAAAAATGACCTGGCTGTGGGGAAGAAACAAAGTCAACCAAAACCCAGACGTGGCTCAGTTTGGGAAATTAAAAATATGGTTTTTAATGTACAGAATGTGTTTTTTAATGTACAGGAATTATTTAATTCAGATATTAAGAGAAGGTTCTGTCAGTCCCCAGGTCAGCAGGGAAGTGTCCATTGCTCCAGGTTCCTCTTCCCCCAGGTTGGGCTGAGATGAAGGGAATCAATCCCTGCCTGGATTTAAGAAGTGATGCTCGGGAGCTGCCAGCAGACAAGGGTTTTCTTTCCTCTCTGAATTTCAAAGGCTGGGAATCCCAGGACCTGGACACAGGGCATAAATCAGCCCTGGATTCCACTGGCAACAAGTGGGCTGGCTCCTCACGGAGGCTTCTCCTGCTCCATCCATCAGCCACAGACCTGAGAAGGTGGGGAAAAAAAACAAGAATTCCATGTAGCAGCTCCCTCAGCAGGACAGAGAGGGGACAGGGGGGACACTGAGCTGGGCTGGAGAGCCCAGGAGGGGCTGAGATCCCGGGGCACTTCCATGGATGGGGATGCACAGAGGCAGGAGGGAGATAAGGAATGGGATGGGGGAGGAAGGGGGGCAAAGGAAGGAGGGAAGCAGGAGAAGGGCAGGCAGGGAGGCAGAGGGGGGAGAGGGAAGGAGCCCGCACTGCCCATCTGGGCCATGCATCACATTGAAATTGTCCCGCATTAAAAATTCACCAGCCAGTGAATTTTCAAGGGATTTGTAGTAATTAGATGACAAAATGCTGGCAAATCTCAGGCTTGCCAAAGATGTTACTCAGGGGTCAAAGACTCGACACTTTTGGCTGGGTAATTTGTAAGTGTCAATCACACTCAGGCATCAGAGGGAAAGGAGAGCTCCAAGGGCTGAATCCTAACGAAGCCCAAGGCTCCTGCCTGCTGAGCCCCCTCCTGCTGCCACCCAGGCCTCAGACCCCCAGCTGAAACCACACTGGGCTGGTTTGGCTTCTCATTTTTTTAAATTAAAAGGAGCAACTTGCCAGGTTTTGCTTTTCTGCAGCTGCCTGGGGTGGTGTGCCTGTCCTGTTCATCTTGCTGGGGGCAGGATGGGCTGTGACTGCCCCTCTGCAGCCCTGCACCAGCTCTCCTGCCACCTGGCTGGAATTGCTCCTGGGCCAGGCCAGCCTGCTGCTTCCTGGGGCTGGCACACTGCGCTGAGCTGGGCTGGAAATGGAATTAAAGCATCTCCTGCCTTGTTCCCAGGATGTCATGGAGCCTTTGGGGCCACCAGAGCAGCCCCATGGGCTGTGTGTGCCTGTGCTGGCCCTGCTGGAACACCCAGGCTCATTCAGATCCTTCCAGCCCTGGGCTGGAGGGGGGCCCCATCTCAGGCTGAGCCCATGGCAGCAGCTCATCCCACACACCCACCCACAGCCTGGGGGAGAAATTTAAAAGTTTTCTACATCATCAGCTTAAAACCAAACCACAAAATGCAAAAATGAATGCTTTGTCCAAAACACCAGGGGAGATCCCTGTCCCAGCCAGGTGTGAAGCTCCAGTGTGGGCTCAGCCTTGCTGGGGTTGAGGTTAAGCCTGGGCTTTGCTGCTGGGTTTTGGGGACAGAGGATGGCTCAGAGGGGTGGCTGCCTAGCCCCAGATCTCTCCTGGAGAGATTTTTGCCTTTTGTGGTCTGGTTTCTAAGCTGATGAAGTAGAAAAGCCCTGGATTTCTCAGCCCCACCAGCAGCAGGGGGATGGCTGTTACCAGGGGCTACACTTACCTCCAAAAAAGATTTGGGATCAGCACATGTGGGAGAGGCAGGACCCTGCTTTACTCTCCATCTCTCCTCGCTTACAAAGCTGTCCTTGTTACCCCTGCCAAAGCCCACCTCCAGTTCTGGGTGTGAGGGATGACTGAAGCTCTAAGGGAGGCATGGGGAGCTCCTGGCCATCAGCTCTGAGGTGCTGAGGCATCACACAGCACCCATCACACCCCAAAGGAGAAGCACTGCACACCCCAAACCCCCTTGCAGAGGAAAGCAAGTCCCAGAGCAAAGGAAGCTGAAGGAGGTTTGTTGGCTCCATCCCTCCCAGTGTGCTGGATTTGGGGAATGCTCTTAATCCAGTGTGTGAGGAGGGGAGAGATGGGAAAGGGAGGGAAAGGGCAGGAAGGAAATCCCCTCTGGACAGAGCTGCTGTGGGTTAGGTGGTGGATGCAGAGCCATTCTTGCTGCAGGCCAGCAGCACTGGGAGAGCTGGAAAAGGAGGCAAGCAGGGTGATGTGCCCCAGACAGGGGAGCTGAGGGGACTGGGAACGTGGCTGGAGGCTCCTCCTCAGTTTCAAAAGTCACTCAGCAGCTGCAAAACGCCTTGCAGGGACAGCCTTCCTCCAGCTCCTCATCAGCTGCACTTCCAGCTCCTACTCCATGTATTTAAATAGCCCAAATCATGGGCTGAGGTCTGCAGGGAGGCTGGGCTGAGGGGTTTTCCATGGTTTTATCTTCACTTGATCTAAGAGTGCCTTCAGGTGCTGCTGGAAGGGTATTTGCAGGGAAGGGTATTTGCAGGGAAGGACTCTGCCTGTCCCTGCTCTGTCCAGTGTCAGGAGCCACTCCCTGCTCACAGGGGGTGTCCCTGGGATGTTTCCTGCCTGTCAGAGCCTGCTGCTGGCAGATGGAGACCCCCCAGGCCCACCCCACTGCAGCTGAACACAGCTCCTACCACTGCCCTGCTTGCTCCTGTAGGAGAAAACGAACCAGAAAATGCCAAATTTTAGTTGAGGGAACACGAAGAAAACCTTTTTCCCCCCAGATCACCTCTCCTGACACACTCCACAGCCCTTAGTGCCCTCCCACTCTGTCCCAGCAGCTTTGCTGTACCCTGAGCTGGGGATGATGTCACATGTGGGGACACGGTGACGCTGGCTCTGTACCCCCCTGCTCCACAGCAGCCCACCGTGGTCCCGGGGCTGGAACAGAGAGACAAACCTAATTACCAGGCACTAATTACAGCCTGTGGAACGCAGGGACTGTGCTCCTGCAGCTCCCAGGGAGGTGAGACCCTCCCTTCTCCAGGATCCTGCCCACCTCCCTGCTCCTGTGCTGCCATCACTTCCTGCACACCCCCAGCTCTGCTCTGCTCTGCCTCCCCAGCTCCAGTTTGGGGTGAAAGCCTCCCTGATTAGCCAATTTGGATCCCTATTTACTGTGAATTACTGAGCCTGATTATTATTCATGGCTGGCGAAGGCTGAGCTCTCAAGCCCGGCCATGCGGTTTCTCTTCCTCTCCAATGCACACATTTAGGGAAAACAGGAGGCAGAGTGCCTCACTCAGGGAAGCTGCCTCCTCCTCCTCCTCCTCCTGCTGTATTTCCTGCTGAGGAAGGTGCTGGTGGAAGCTGGGATGTGGTGCCAAACACTGGTGGTGCTGTGACCCAGGGTGAAGTCCAGATGTGTTGGAATATTGGTCCCTTCCAACTCAGCTTCTCCTGGGACTCTGGGATTAAGGAGAAGTTCCCCAAATCTCCCAGCCAGCATCCAAGTCAACTCTCTCAATCTGCATTTGCAAATTCTTCCTGAAGTCCAACCTGAACCTCCCCCTGGAGATTCCAGAGCTCCAGGAGGCAGCAGCTGGGCTGGAAGGCAGCAGGCAGGACCCACCTTCCTGCAAAGGGTGAGTGAGTGGCAGGCACTTACTGTGCCTGCTTGGCCTTGAAGTGCTCCCCAGACCTCATTCCATGGGACACACCTGGGAGGAAGGCCAGGGAAGATGGGCCTGAAGGGCTGAGAAGAGCTGGAATTCCTGACTTACTGCAGGAGCAGAGCAGTGGTGATGACAAGAAACCACCAAGAGCTCACAGATGCTGTCCCTGCCAGCTCTCCTGTGCCACAGAGAGGAAAACACAGATGGTGGTCAGGAGTTTTCCAAAGGAGGGGGTCACTTTGGGCACTCCCAGGGCACTGTGGCACAGCAGAGGGGCTGGCAGTGCCCAGCAGAGCCAGGCTCCCTGGCTCTCTCTGTGCCTTGCCTTGCTTTGCTGCCTGTCCCCATAAGGAGATAAAAGCCCACACAGGCCTCTGGCAACAGGCAGCAATGAGGGAGAGCTGCTTCTATTAAAACCCCTTAACCCTCTCATTCAGTAAAAAAGCTGCATTTGAATAATATCCTAATCCAATTGCAGAGCTGCCCTGGGGAGGGGGATCTGCAGCGTGCCTGGGGAGCAGCTGCAGCCAGCACAGCTCCTGCTCCTGTCCAGCTCGCCAGGGTCTCACCCTGGATGAAGCTGTCACAACCTGACAGACACCCACTGGCCAAGGCACAGGGCCTCAAGCCCCCAGGGACCCTGCAGTGCATCCCAGCAGCCAGAACTGAGTGTCAAGCACTCTTCTGGGTTCTCTGATGGGAGAGCAGAGGCTGGGCACAGCCCAGAGAGCCCATGTGGGGTGGCTGTACCCAGCTCTCACCTGCACAGCCAGGGCTGATGGGTGAGCTGGAGCTTGGAGCTGCTCATCTTCTCTGCCACCAGCACAGCCTGGCTCCAGCCCTCACACCCCAACAAGGAGCACCACACCCCCCCTGTGCCCAGCTGTGCCCAGGGAGCACAGGGCAGCTGAGGGGTGACAGGCACACACAGTGACACTGACCCTGGGCTGTCCAGAGCCAGCAGAACGAGGGGGACAGGGCTGCAGCTCATCCCAGCCCAGTCACAACCATCAGTGTGCAGTCATTTGGTACAGACAAAACCTTCCTGAATAATAGAACAGGAACTGTTCCCCCTCCCAAAGCAAACAAGAGCATTGCAGCAGCACTGCTGAGGTTAAGGACCAGGGGGAGGCTGTTGCCTGCTTTAGCTCCGTGGACAGGTAACAGAGTTTGCATTATTTTATCATTAGGATTGCTTCAGATCAGGGGGAAAAAAGAAAAACAGTCAGTGGGGAGTGCTGAATTTCTGCAGACCTACTTAAGTGATCATTTTAATTCAGGTGTAGGCTCGTTTTTAGAAAATTCCTGCTGTAATTTTAGGGGTGCAACGTGTGGGATTCTCAATACGTAACAAAGAAGTGGAGCAGGAATTAACTCCAACTGTTCTCCAGAGCTGTGATCAGCACTTCCATAATTAATGTCCAGGCACATATATATCTGTGTACACATACACAGCCCCCCCCTGCTCACATCAAACAGATTTCCTTGATACCAAATTGCCTGAAAAATTAACCAATGTCAAACTGCTCCACAAGATAAGTATCATTAAGGGAAAAAGAAAATCTTCATTATGTTTGAAGGTACAGGGGAAAAAAAAAAACCCTCATGAATGTTTTCCAGCCTGTTCCCAGCCTGGGAAATAACATGTTTTAAAACATATCAAAGGGTTAAATTAATTTTCATTAAAATTTAAATTTGAGAAGGCTCCCTCTCTTCTTTCCTCCCTCCTCCCCCTTTGAACGTTTGACTGGCAACCATTTCATATTTCAATCTCGGCAGAACAAATTGAATTAGATGTTGAAACCAAACTCTGCTCTGTTCTCTAAAGCCTACATGCTCTGCTTGTGCTAATCCTTTTCGTCGCTGCTGCAGACCTCAGAGACACTCAGCAAGAAACCTGCCCTGCCACAAAAGACAATGAAGGGAAAGAGGGAAAAAAAAAAAAAAAGAAAAAACAGGAAAAAAAAAAACCCACAGGAAAATCCAAGCCCAACCTGCAATGCTGCAGAGCTTTGCTGAAATCATGTGCTGGGTGATGCATGTGCCTGGAGAGGAGCCTGCCCAGCTTCTCTGTCCTCTGTGCTGGACTTGGGCTGGTCCTGCCCAGGCAGGATGGTCAAACATCCCTGCTGGACTGAAATGTAACTTAGCTAGGGCTGAGATTTCACTGCAGTGACCCCCTGGTGCAGAGCTGTGCCAGTGCTGGGGCAGGTGCTGCAGGCAGTGGGGAACAGGGACAGGAATGCCACTCATCAATGCCCAGCAAAAAAAGGGGAATCAAGCTTGTCACCACTTCAGGTGACACTGCCACCCCCTCTGACAGCACTGCTTCCACACCTGTGCCTCAGTTTCCCCACTTGCTGTTCCAGAATGAGGTTTCACACCACAGCCCTGAGACATCCCAAGGGGCTATTCCTGAATTTTGGTCTGTCCCTTGAGCCAGCTCCTGGCAGGGGTGGCTGCTGTGAGGTTTGGGAAGCCTCTCAGTGCCAGCAGCAGGGCTCTGGAGCTGCAGCACAGTTTGGGGGACCAGCAAGGGGTGTCACAGCACTGGAGCTCAGCCTGGAACTGCAACTCAGTGCTGAGCCCTGTTCTGGGAATTCTGCAGAAAAGCTGGGACAGGACAGGTCTGTAAGCACAGAGCTGGGCTCTGAGCAGCACAGCACACACACCTGGAGGCACCCAAAATCAGAGCTGGACAGATGTCACCCCAAAGCCCTGGCAGATGTCACCCCAAAGCCCTGGCGCTCCTGCAGTGGCCCTGCATGGAGCAGGCAGTGTGGTTTAACCCAGCTCAGCTGCTGTGAACAGGCTCCCATCAGATACTCAGGGTTTCCACAGTGGCCACACACACACAGAGAGGACACCACGAGCCCACCTCACCTCTCCTGAGCCCACACAGGCTGAGCCTGGGGGTCTCAGAAGGATCAGAGGGGCTGGCAGGACTGCAGGGTTTGACCTCAGGGAGCCATTTCATCCTGACTCCCTCCTGCCATCCCTTATTTTCCAGCCTTGAGATGCTGCTCCAAGACACACCAAGGAGGAGTGATGGCAGCCAGGACTCACTCGGGGTGTGCTGCTTTTGGAGGGAGAGAAGTTGTGGAGATTTTTGTGCTGGCAGGGAAAAGGCCTTTGCCAAACTGTCTGTGCCATGGTGGCAGCTGCAGGTTGGTGTCCAAACAGGGATTTTGATTTTTTGGCAGCCCATCTGTTCTCCCCCAGCCGCAGGGAGGGACAATTCACACCCTGACAGCAGAAATTCTGCTGCCTTTCCCTGGGGGATGCCAACAGCCAGGGGAGCACACAGAACACACCCAGGGCATGCACTCACTTCAACACTGGGCTCAAACCGAGCCAAATCTGGGCTGTAACCCCTGGGACCACAGCCAGGAGCCTCTGGGGTTGCAGAAGGGACAGGCAAAGGGTGGGACTCCTGCTTGGAGGCTGCTGAGCCTTTGGAATTCCACCTTCTCCTGCTCCTGGTGCTACCGACCATGCAGCAAGGACACCGTGACTTTTAGGGCCAGCTGTGCCCACCCTGCCCCAGTACCCACCTCACCAGAGCCCAGGCAGCTGTTAAATATCCTCATCCTTGTTATTGTCCTCCTCTTCCAGGTGCTCCATGATTTCATTCAAAAGCTCCGATCGTTTTTTCTTCTTTGGGGAGTCTGTCCAGGCCAGGGTGGGAGCAAAGGGGGGGAGAGAAAAGGAAAAATTACAACCTGGACCCACGTTAGGAGGGGCTGAGGGGGCAGGATACCCTTCCAGGTGAAGGTCATCGTCACCTACTTCTCCCCAGGCAGGTCCTGGAAGGAGCTGGGATTCCAAAACCTTCCACCCATGCTTTAGTTCACTGGCTAGGAGCAAACAGCACCCAAACAGATGCTGGTGATGCCAACCCTTCCTGCTGACCCCAATTCAATGTGAAATTCACCATCTCCCTGTGGAAAAGTGGCTGCAAGCCTCAGCAGGACCTCATCAGGGCTCTTGGCAACACCCTGGCTGAGACCACCCCACCCCAGCAGCACATCCTCACCTGGGGGGGACCATGTCCCTGCTCTGCCCCTCCTGCCCTGGCACTGCCTGTGGCACACAGCGCCCTGCACACATCCCTCCCAATGCCTGCAGCACAGGGGGAACCCTGGGGGGCTGCCAGCACCTGAGGGAACAGCCCAGCCCTGGCTCTGAGGTGACAAAGCCATTTGGTCCCTGATGTGAGGCTGACAGCCTCCTTTCTGCTGGGCAGGCAGTGCCCTCCCGGCAGGAGCCGTGGCACAGCCCCCTCTCCCCCCCTGGCTCCCCAGCTCGCTCGCAGCACATGGAGAACAGCTGTTTAAATCCTGCTTTCAGACATCAAAAGCCTCGCTGGGTTTCTCAAACAAACAAACATACCATAGGACTAAAGAAAAGGTGTAAAATAAATAAATGGAACAAGCTGTGCATTTTCTTTTAGTATTACAGCTGCTGCGGGAGATAAACAACAAGTAAATGTCACAAAACATCAATACAGAAGAAATTAACCTGACAAAAGCTCACATCCCCCCCCCCCGCCTCCCCCCAACTCCCAACAATTTTTGCATTTCTGGAGTTCCCATCTAATGATTTTATTTTTCAATTAATTCTTTGACAGAGAGCCAGAACCTGCCTCCCTTCTCCCTGGGGGCAGTGGGGACAGGAGGGGGACGAGGGTGCTGATGGACCCCGCTGCCCTCCCAGCATCCACCTCAGGGGAGCCATGGGGGCCACAAGGTGCCACCCCCAGACCCTCCAGCAGCAATCACCCAAAGGCACCAGGGATAACCCACCCTGGAGGAAGGTGCCAGCTCAGCAGTTCTCCCTCTCTACTCTGCTCCCAGCTCTCCTCCTTTGGAATGGCATCAAATGTGGTCTCATCTCCCAAATCCGCTGTAGGAGCATGTCTTGTACCTGCCACCCCTTCCCAACCAGAGCCTCATGGAGATCCCACAATGCTGAGGCTGCACAGCAGAGGAAAAGCTGGATATGGGATGCTGGGTGCCCAGGGAAGGAACATCCCTCAGCAGAGCAGCACCTGGCAGGGCTCTGGCAGGGCAATCCCCCCCTGCATCCCCCAGATTCACCAGCTCGGCCACGGGCAGCACCAGCAGCATCCCCCTCTTGCCTAACAAGGGGAAAATAAAAACCCAGGAGGGTGGGGGAGCGAATTGGTTGGGCTTCCTTCCGTTCTGCTGCTCCAAGCTGGTTAAGGTTTGCCCGCTAACGATCCCATTTGCTTCCTTTAAACAATGGGCAAAGCCGGCGGGGGTGGGCCAGGAGGGGGATTACCACGGGATTAGAACGTGGCAGGGTTGTGGATGCCACGCTAATCCTGCAGGGTTTTACTCCCCGGCTCCGGCATGTGTTTGCATTAGTTACAGATGCTCTCGAGAAAAAAAAAAAAAAATTAAGGAAAAAAAGAAGAAATAGGAAAGGACAAAGGAGAAAAAAAGGGAGCCCAGCGGTTGGGAGGTGAGGGAAAAGGAAACCTGAGGGATGGAGGCCAAAGGAGGAGCAGGACCGTGCCTTCCCTGGCTACCCCTGCTTCCAGGCACAGCTGTAAATAACCAGGGATGAGCCACAGCGGGGCCCGGCTGCTCTCCAGCCACCCACGGCCCTCCCAGCTGAACCCCTGCCTCCCACACCATCATAACCCCCCCACAAGTCGTTGCTTCCCCTCCCGGCGTGGTGAAATTCCCCATCTGTCAATTTAATGCTTTGATCGATGGCAAGGAGCAGGAAAGCGGCCCGGCACAGCTGGCTGCCCCCGTTAGGCCTGGCGGGAGAGCGGCGGGGCGGGCTCAGGAGCAGAGATTGGCCTTTGGTGGGATTGGGAACTAAACCCTCCCTGCGCCCGGAATTGGCCTTTGGTGGGATTGGGAACAGAGCCCTCCCTGCACCAGGAACTGGCCTTTGGTGGCATTGGGAACAGAGCCCTCCCTACACAGCCCGGGTTGAGGGATTGGCCTTTAGTGGGATTGGGAACAGAGCCCTCCCTGCACCCGGAATTGGCCTTTGGTGGGATTGGGAACAGAGCCCTCCCTGCACCCGGAATTGGCCTTTGGTGGGATTGGGAACAGAGCCCTCCCTGCACCAGGAGCACCAGAAATTGGCCTTTAGTGGGATTGGGAACAGAGCCCTCCCTGCACCAGGAATTGGCATTTAGTGGGATTGGGAACAGAGCCCTCCCTGCACCCGGAATTGGCCTTTGGTGGGATTGGGAACAGAGCCCTCCCTGCACCAGGAGCACCAGGAATTGGCCTTTAGCGGGATTGGGAGCCAGAGCCTTCCCTGCACAGCCCGGGTTGAGGGATTGGTGTTTAGTGGGATTGGGAACAGAGCCCTCCCTGCACAGCCTGGGCCGAGGGAGGGATTATAATTTAGTGGGACTGGGAGCCAGAGCCTTCCCTTCCATGCATGCTCGGTCTGAGGAGCACGAGGAACGGGCATTTAGTGGGATTGGGAGCCAGAGCCCTCCCTGCACAGCCCTGGGAGAGAGCAGAGCACACTGAGGGGTGGGCAGTGCTTGCCAAGCTCCCCTCAGGATGGAGCTGGGGGAGGAAGGGGTTGGAGCTGCTCCCAGCCCTTTGGAGCGGTGGCTCCGTCATTTGGGGATGCAGGGGTGAGTCTGGAGTGTTCCCCCTGCACAGGGCACACATCCATGGCTGCCCCTGGAAATGGAAATGTACACACAATCCAACAAAAATATATATAAACCAAAGCTTTTGCTTTTGGACACCACCAGATCTCACCACCAGTGAGATCCCTTGGTCCCAGAGCCAGGACAGCCACCCTGCTGGTTTCCAAAGCTTCAGTGATCCTTCTTTTCCAAAGGGAAGATCCCCCTGCCCAAGCCAGGCCGAGATGCTGCTGCTGGCAGTGTTTGTCACCTGTCCCTGCCCTGCTGTGGCATTTGTCACAACCCTGCTCCAGGTTATGAGCTGCACTAGAGGGTCCAGGGATAACTGTTGGCCAAGCTTTCCCTGGCTGCTCCTTCCCACGTTAAGAGTCACTGATTTTATCCACACAGCCTGTCCCTGGCCAGGCCCTCAGGCCCTCCAGCCACCTTACAACAATTAAAATTGCCCCCAGATTAAAAGTGGGGTGCAAACAAAACTCAGTGTCCTTTTTTTTTTCTCTAAGTGCCTTCTGCCCCAGGGTGAAGAGCAGATCCTCAGAAATGAGCAAAAAGCCTGAAGCCCCTCCCAGACTGTGCTGGGAGCCAGCAGGGCTGAGGTGCCAGGCCTCAGGGCTGGGCTGTGGCTTCGCTCCTGACAGAACCACTGAAACCACCCGTGGCAGTCAGTGACCACTCCTGGGCTCCTCACTTTCTCCTGGAACATTACAAAGCCTCAGAACAAGCCATAAAGAATGACCTGAAAACTACACAAAATGGGAAGGAAGCCTATTCCATTTTATTGCATCTATTAGACCTATTGAAAAGTCGGCTCAGAAGTGGTTTGATTGCCATGACAAATGCCTGCATGGAGAAAAGATTTGGGAGACCAGACCTCTCCTTCACAAATAACAGCAGAGACCTGGAACTGGAAGCCCAATCTCTCTAAATGATCTCTAGAAATAAGGTGTGTAATTGTGGCAGAGAGCAGAGTGGTAGGACACGTCTGTCACAGCCCAGGTCAGGACCTTGAAATACTAAGACAAAGATGATGAGGCTGACATTAGAGCTGGGGACACCACAGACCTCAGTCCTGATCGTTTCCTGAGGCTTGAAGACCTGAAAGGATCTTTTCTTTCCTATTCCCAGCTCGGGATGGGGACCTGGCCACTGCAGCTGTGGGAAGACCCTCACAATTCACCCACCCTGTGCTGGCAGAGGAAAACTCATGGGGGACACAGCACAGGGATGTCTGAGCTGCTCCTGTGCCCTATGGGGAGAGGAGGAGCTTGGGGAAATGGGGATCAGTAGGAAAAATCCTGGTTTCTGGGCTGTACCACCAGTGAAAAGAGATGCACGGTGTCAGCCTGGCTGTTGGGTGCTGTGTGTGCTCTGCATCCTCTCCATCCCTGCTCCATGTGGGAAAAGCAGCCTCTAGCCCCACCAGGGAGGAAAGCTGAAGGAGCATCCCCATTCCAGAGGGGTGCAGGCAGAGTGGGGCCAGCCTTTTTTCCCCTCTTTATCACTATCACCCACAGAGGGACAGGGTGCAGCTTCCTCCTCACCTCAGAGCCACTGGGCACCCCACAGTGCCTTGAAATCAGGAGCAGGCACTTCCCAAGGGAATAAAATCCCACCCCTGACCCTCCAGTGTGTCACAGAGAGGCTGAGACCTGGTCCCAGGCACCAGCCAGACCCTGGTGCCTATGGGTGTGCCCCAGCCTGGCTTTCCTGGCACAGATCCCTCCTGGCACACCCTGCTCTGCCACAGCATTAGCCACTGGCAGTTTGGAGTCACTGGATGTTTCTGAGACAGGCTGGAGCACAGCAGGGATTGTGCTGCCATCCTGTTTCCCATCCCTAAAGATGGGGAGTGGCAGCCTTGCTCCTGTTTCTCAGCTGAGACCCTGGAACCACTTCAGCTCCAAGGCTGCATTCCTGCTGGGATGTGAAAATGCTCTTCCTGCTGCCCTCCCCAGGGCCCCAGCTCGGTGAGGAAGAGCCCAGACAAGGAGGCTGGAGCAAAGACAGGCAAAAACTGGGGATAAGCAGAGCTTGGGGGAGGTGGCAGAGCTCACAGCCACATCTGCTGAGAGTCTGCAAGGATCCTAAAGCCAAGACTGCTTATTTCCCCTTACACTGAGCAGAGTGGAAAGGGGGGAAGGAGATCCTGAAGATAAAACTGGGTGTTGAAACATCTCACCTGCTGTTTTCTCCACATGCACAACATGTCCCCACTCCACTGCTGGGTTCTGGGTGGGCACATCCACCCCTCAGCCCTGCCACCACCAAACTGCAGCTTGCCCAGCCTGGAATGAGCAGCCCTGAACCATTTCAACATGGGGATCACTGGATCAGTCAGGATCACTGAATAACTGAGGTGTGCTGCTCTCCCCTCAGCAGGGATGTGCAGCCCCACAGCTGCTGCCAAACCCCCAGGCCATGGGCATGTGGTGATGGAGAGGGGAAGCAGGGAGGGGATGCAGGAGGAGGAGCATTGATCTCCAGCTTAGCCCTGCAGCCCAGGGGAGCCCTTCCTACATAAATATTTGCCAAGCAATGCATTTGTGCCTGTCGATGGCTGTCAATAGGAGCCTGCAGTGCTGTCATCTGCAGAGCTGTCACTCCCAGCAGCCTGAGCCAAGCAGCCCCTTCTGCATCCCATCACCACACAGTTTTCCCTTTTAACTCCACGTGCTGCATGCACAGAGCCTGTCCCCACCTCGGGAGCAGCCAGGGGAGGGAGCAAAGGCGCTGTGGCTGCCAGGTGGCACCGCGGTGCCCGGGCACACGCAGAGTTAACAGCTCACAGGCAGAGCTGCCAGACAAAGGCCTGGCCTGGCTGCCTCCCCCAGCGTGCTGAGGCTGCAGCAGGGAGCTGGCAGCCCCCAGCAGTGTGGCAGTGGCAGCAGAGCAGGGGTTACCGTGGAAGTGCTGGGCGGTTTTGCGGCGCAGGGCTTCCAGCGTCTCCTCCGTGTCCGCCCACTCCAGCACCAGCCTGCGGCCGTACAGGTGGGTGCTGTGGCACAGGGCCTGGAAGGCTTTCTGCACAATTCAAAGAGAGAGAGGAAAAAAAAAGAAATTAAAGGAGAAAATAAGAATAGGCTCACAGGAGGGAAAGGCAGAAATGTTGTTCCCTCTGCCCCGGGGTGTAAAGGCCACCAGAGAACATCGTACTGGGAGTGATTTGCTCTGATGGGGCAGGATCCATCTCCATCAGAGACTCTGACTCGGTCATTTATCTTCCCTGCACTTGCAGCAGAGCACATTCCCATCACCACTGCTGCTGGCTCTGCTCCTGGGGGGCAGGCTGGAACCCAGCACAGGGTGGGACCACCCTGAGCCGGGAATGCTGCAGCCTCTGCAGCTCTGGGTGGGACCCTGTGACTGCCCAGCACCCTGTTCTCTGCTGGAACACAGGGAAGCACAGCTCAGCTGTGACAGAGGAGTTCCTTTCTGCTCTGGAAGCAAGATGGAAAACTGCCTTTCTCCTGCCAACCATGTGGTGACTTGGCCGTGGTGGCAGCACATGTGGCAGAGCAGAAGCCAGCACAGAAGCCCTCTGCTCTTTATGCCTGTGGTGGTTTGCTCTGATGCAGAAATCCAGAGGTTTCCTGGTGTTAGGTCCTGTTTGGTAACACCCATACAGCTGGAATCTCTTGCTGATGTTGAATACAAACATGCCAGCCAGCCCAGAGCTCAGATGGCTTTCTCTGCCCCTAGCCAACCAGCAGAGACACCCAGAAAGCACTGACTCAGTCTAGGGAAGTTTGATTTTGTCTTTATTTCCCACAGAATTTCAAGGAAATTCAGGACTGAGCAGGACTGGGCCCACAATGCAAATACACAAACACACTGGCCAAATATTTTTATCCCCAGGGGCCCACAAAGTGCTCCACAGTAAAGGCTGGGCACGGAGGGAGAGAAATGCCCCAAATGCTTTTTCAAAAACCCCAGCTAAGGCTGAGATTAGCTCAGGTTTTGAGCTCTGCAAACTCTATCCCTGGAACAAAAATGGCATCTGGAGGATCAGACAGACATCCTGCTGTCCAGCAGGGCCTTGTGCTCCCATCTGGAGGCCCCAAACCAGCCCCCAAGCTGTCCTGTAGAAGTCCACACCTCTCCTCTGAGCCACCTGCTAAAAGCAGCTCTGAACCACTGCAGCTGTCCCCAAATGCCACATCTCTGGGCAGAGGGGCTTGTCCTGCTTTGCTGCCCACAGGGTCCTCAGGACCCTCCTTGAGCTGCTGGGTTATGAAACTCATTAAAAAAAATCCCATTTTCCAGTAACCTGAGCTTTCCTCTCTTTCCACAGTCCTTTCACTCATATAACCCTCATGTGCTGTAAAGCAGTGATGAGGAGCACCAGCTCCACCATGGCATGGGTGAGACTCCCATTGTCCCAGCACCCCCAGGGTGATCCTGGCAGGGCAGAGTGCCCCCTTTTCCAGGGGCACATTCCTCCTGGAAGAGCTGCAAGCTCCAGCTGTTTTTATTTGCTGCTGCTGTGTTTTCAAGGCCTATCTCCCAATTAGCAGAGCAATGTGTTGGCTTAAACAAACATTGGGGGGAGGTGGTGGGAGGGAGTTGTGAGGGCTGTTTGTGTTGGCACCAGGAGCCTTTTCCAAAGCCTGGCACACCACCCATGGCTCTAAACACTGCATTTCCTTTGTTAATTCCTATTTTTGGATTGCTCCTTCCCACAGCACAAGGAAGAGGGAAGTTGGGTGACAGCACACAGCCCATCTGTGCTCCATGGGTCATGGAGGAGGGCAGGCCATGATGAACGTGGCACTTGGTGGGCTCTGCTCCACTGAGCCACTTCTCTGCCCCCACCTCCTCCTCATCCTCCTCCTCCTCCTCATGGGATTGCCATCCTCTAGTTTTCCTGGGAAAGGTCATGGAGCAACACAGAAGGCAGATGCTGCCATCAGGTTGTGTTATGTGCAGGAAACCCGCTGGGTGAGACACATCTGCCACCAGCCTGGTGACATTGGCCCTTCCTGGCCAAACACATCCCCAAAATGAGTTGGTTTGCACCCATGATGAAGAAAGCTCCAGCCTGTACTGGGGTCTCTGCTCCCTGTCTTCCAGATAGGCTCCAGGAGCTGGGAATGCAGAAGAGAAGCTGCACATTTCAGGTGACAAACACACGGATGTCACTTCTTTGGAAATGAGCTAAAAGACAAAACTAGCTGTTCAGTGCTCTGAGAGGAATTAAGACTTTTTCAGGGAAAAAAAAAAAAGAGAAAGCACTGATGATTTAAAAGACAAAGGGATGAAGGGGAGAAATGCCATCCCCATACATCCACACTGCTGGAAATCTTCCAGGGAGAGGAGGAAATCTGCCACTGCTGCTATTCCAAATGAAGAGATAGGTAGGAAAAAACATATTTTAATTAGATGACAAGTATGAAATGAGGAGAAGCAGGCTGGCTTTCAGAGAAAGCAGGAGCTATTTTTGGGGTGCAGCTCCTCTGTGTGAGCATCTGCCTTCCCAGGACAGCTCTCTGGAGGAACAAAGAAGGGCCAGAGGTTTGTGGAGTTGTATCCAAATGAGGGATAAAGGCAGGTGTGGTGACTGCTCATCCAAGAGAGAGACTCACCACAAAAGCCCTCTAATTCTCAGGGCTTTCTATCTTCCTACAGCTTTAAGGAGAGCCTTTGCCACAAAAAGCTCCTTTGGAAATGCCCAAACCTGATTCTGCTGCATTTGGTAACACACCCTCTGCCAGGCCACCCCAAGCCTGCAGATCCCTGGCAAACCTTTTCCCAGGCCTCATTTGCTTTCCAGATGCTTTAGGGTTGCATGGAAACACTATGGGCTTCTCCTCCTCGAGAATAGGATGTGAGCATGATTTAAAATGCCATTTCTGAGCATTTTTTTGCAAAGTTTGGTTCAAGCTTAACATTACAGCTCAGCATGGCGGGAAAAAGCAGGGAGAGGAAAGGGAGAGGCTGGAACAGCAGCTTAAAAACATCTGTGGGATTCAGAAAGAGAATTTCCAAGTGAAGAGGTGGCTGCTAACCCCCCAGGAAGGGCAGGCTGCTGGGATAAGGCAGGCAGAGCTCTGGAGCAGAGCCTGCTGTGCTGGGAGGGCCGGGAGCAGAGGCAGGAGCGCAGCGTCTGTCACCCACGGGTGTGACAGCGCCAGCCCTGACTGCTGCACTCATTTGGAGGACAGTGCTGCTCTGCCTCCAGATTCCCCCTTGCCCTATTAAATACTCAAGCCAAAGAGCCTCCAGGCTGGAATCATTAGAGGGACAAAGGGTCAACAACATTAGGAGATTGATAAATATCCCTCCCTTGCAAGAGCCGGTCCCAACTGAGGATGCTCTCCGCGATGCCAGATGCACACAAGGATTTTTCCTTCCGTGTGTGTGCATTTTGAAAGCATTGGCTGTCTCTCCCAAATGGGCAATTTCTATTTGGAGACCAGATGTATTTTTATATCAACAGGGGAGAAAAGTGGGAACTCGGCTTCCCAGTTAATAGTTCAAAAATAAAAACAATTCCGCAACGATTCTGCACAGGGAACGTCAGGAAATGTTTAGTGCTTCCTTAACTGGAGTTAATTTGGTATTGCCAGCGCATCAGAGTTGCAGGGAAGGCTGAGGAGATCAAGCCAAGCCTGATGGGGCAGAGCTGCAGGCACAGCATCGGGGAGCTGGGAGGAGGAGCCCCCGTGTCTGTGCTGGCTGTGGAAAATCTCCATGTGCGCTCCCACAGCAGCCGTGCTTGTTCAGAGAAAAAGACAAACACGGGAGGTCACAGGCTTTAAATGCCCAACAAAGGCAGCCTAACTATTCTATTACAAACCCATCATGTTTTATAAGATGCTTATAAGCAATTTCCAGATTACCACTCTGAGCAAAAGCGTCACTGACAGTCAGAGCTATTCAGCTCAGAGGTCTCCAGGCCCACTCCCCTCCTCTCTCATTTCACTCAGCAATAAACTCTAAGCCAATTATGAGCATGTTTACAATATTCAGGATCCTATTCATCAATACACTGTGCATCCTCTTCCAGACGGCCAATGGAGTGTACTTGATGTGCCACTTGTGAGACAATTAAATCCCTCAAAGAGATGAGGGTGGAAAAAAAATATGAAGAAGGAAGAAGAGCTGCTTTGCTGGGAAAGAAGAAAACCCTGCTGAGAGTTGTTCCACAGGGCAGCTCTCTCCCTGCATGCTCCCCTCCATGAGCTTTGGGAGCTGTGCCCTGGGCCAGAGCCTGCCTGGCTCTCTCCCCTCACCATAGATGGGCTGCCTATCACTGAGATGCCCATTTGTCCAGTGCAGCTGGAATCAGCCCCTGAGAGGATGAAAAGGGATGGGAAGCAAACACTGAGCTGTGCCTGCTTCCCCCAGAGAGCAGCAGTAAAGAACCAGTCAGGTCTCTCTCTGTACCCTTCCATCCAAAGCCTAAAGTTTCCTTGGGAAAGAGATTAATTCAAACCCCAGGAACAAAGCCTGAGTGACTGTGCAGTGAAGCAGAGGTGAAAGCAAAGCTGCTTTGAGCAGAGCCACAGGCACAGCTCAAGGTGCAGGGAGAGGAACCAGGCTCCTGGGGGGATCCCCTGCACCCCCAGCTGACCCCCAAGGGGAGGAGGGAAGCTGAGCAGAGGGAAGTTTGAGTTAGGATCAATACAGGACTAACAAAGAAACTCCATGTACTGTGTTATACAGGAGGTCAGGCTGGAAGGGATGATCTAATAGTCCCTTGTGATCCTGGATCAATGAATGCTGTCTAAAAACATAAACACAGGCTCTGGCTGGCTCCCCCCTCCTCTCTCCTTCATCTGCACTCACAGTCTGGAAAATCTGCAGTTTTGGGGGCTTATGTGGTCCCTTCCCTCCAGCAATAACATCCCGTGGGTTGTGCTTACAGCCACTCCCTTCCAGACCCTGCCCGAACCACCAGAAATCAGCAGCAGGATGAAATCCACCCTGCTCCAGAACCTCTGGCAAAGGATGAGAGCAGGATACCACCATCAGACAGGCTGCAATCCCCTTGTTTCTGCTAAAAGCATGGAACTTAAAGATACAGGAAAGCTTTCAAAAAATAAATGAACTAGGCCAATTCATAACTACTGATCCTCTGGCACAGTCACTGGGAAAGCAGCAGGGTAAGGCTGCTCACAGGGGGCTCTCAAAACACACAGAAGAACTGGTGAACACAAGCCTTGAATGGGTTGCAAATTAGGGAACAGCCACAATATCCAAAACTCCCCTAAAATCAAGGTGGTGCTGGAGGTGGGACATGTGCAGAGGTTTCCTGATGTGTTAATGTTGGGTCAAAACCATCCTGTCTCACCTTGCTGCTGGCAAACCTGAAAAATAAGCTCCTGTCCTTCCATATTACAAGAATTTTGAGTTATTTTATCAGTTGCACCAAAATTATTCCCTTTAGGGGTTGGCTTGTGGGTTTTGTTGCTGCCCACATGGGGGTTTCAGCCTGAGTGCAGCTTTCCTGGGCAATGCTACCAGCCCAAACCTGGGCAGTGGGACAGAGCCTCCAGGCTGCCCTCCCCAGCTGGGGCAGTGCCAGAAGGGCACAGCTCACCTTGGCATCCTGCTTGGTGACGAAATCCACAAAGCCAAAGCCCCGGTGGGATCCTGTTCCTGCCATTTTCTTGGGCAGCCGGACGGTCTTGAGCTCTCCAAAGGTGCTGGCAATGCAAGGAAAAGCAGGGACAGCATGAGATGAAGGCAAGAGTCACCCCTTCCCCACAAACCCTGGCAGGGCCAGCTGCACACCCACACTGAGTGGTGTCCTGCAGCCACTCTGCTGCCCTGAAAGCCCCATTTCCAAAGCAAGTACCAGTTAAAAAACTCAGCTTGCATTTGAAGGATAATTCTGGATATAAAACTTAACAATACAAAAAACTTCTTTAATGTAACTGCTTTGTTCCTCCTTCCCTCAGGAGATCCAGCCAGAATGCCATGCCCTGCTCAGGGTGGGCAAAGCATCTCCAGGTTAGCAGGGCTGCTCCAGATGCCACCAAAACAGATTTATTTGCACCTTTAAAGAGGGGCTGGAGTGCACAGGATACAGGCAGGACACAGAGCATGGCCCCACAGGGAATTATTCTGTTTCCAGAACAGCTCCTCCATCCCCAGAGGTGTCATCCCTCCAACTCCAGGGATCCTGGGCATTTTTTATGATTGGATTTCCTCGCTCTAACCCTTCAGCCTCTGCCATCCTGCAGCTTCTGTGCTGGAATAAACTGGTTTTATCTAAGCTTTCTGGATGTAGAAAGGGAAACAGGCGAATCCAGCAGACCACAACAACCTCCATATCCAACAGCATTTCAGACAAGTTTTGCAGTGCCAATGGAAAGCCAAGAATGGGGAGATAAGGGGGTTCCTGTCCCACAGAAGGAACCTGTGGCTTGAGCAGCAAAGCATGCAGCCATCCCACTTTGTCCAAAAACCCTAAAAAGGTTTTTTAGCCCCAAAGGCAGCACGTGCTGGACACCCCTCTCCAGTGCCATCCCCTGGAGAAATTCCAGGACAAAGCCAATGCTTTCCTGCTGCCAAGCTCCCTCTTCCCCTTCTCCTCCCCTCCCCTCACACCCATTTATATCAAACACATATGCACAAACTGCAGGCAATAAATATTTAATGTGGCCCAGGTCTGAAGAGATGTGTTATTTTATTTGAAAATCTCCACACAGGCGTGCATACACAAAAGGAGCCTGGGATACAGCAGTGCCAAAGAGCACCTGGGAATAAACACAGTAAAGGCCATAAATGCTCTCGTGAAATGATATAAGCTAAATCCTGGGAGTTAACCTGCTGCACTGGCAGCATGACCAGGCATTCATCCACCCAATTTCCTTAGGCAACGTGGTGTGTAAATGCACCATTATGAAGCTTCAAAATGAATCCGCACGTCTCGCGCTCGGTGCTTTCCCTCCCTCTCCCTGCTGCCCCCTCCGAGCTGGAGCCACGCAAACAAACAAACAAACCCCAGCACAGCAGAGGGAGCAGCCTCAGCTGCTGGAGGGCTCGGATCCTGGGGGTTCCAGAGGTCCTCCTGCAGTGGGGTGGGGGTGACAGGGACACCCAGGATGCCTGGAGCAACTCAAATGCTGCAGCTGGGTGAAGGGAGAGGCAAGGGGACAGCTCCTGAGCCATGGAAATGCCCATCTAGCTAGGAAAAATGGGAGGCAAAGCCCATGGGCACGCTCTAGTCTCTCTCTCTCTCCATGAAAAATATCAAGGACATTGCCTGGGGGCAGCAGAATATTTGCTGAAGGAACAGGAGCAGAGTATTTGCTCAAAGGGAGGTCTCAGACAATGCTCAGTCTGTGCACTGAAACACCAACATGTCCTTTTGACACCAAAACCCAGCACTCAGGGTGGCCAGGGGGTACCCACAGGAGCAGGATGGCTCTGGATTCAGGGTGCCAGCTATGCTGACCCACATCAGCCTGGGCAGAGCTGGCAGAAATTGGCCCTTCCTTCCTCCCCAGCTCAGAGCAGTCCAGGCCACCCACACGTGGAGAGGAGTGGAGGGAGGGGACACCTGCTCCAGATCCACAGCAGGGCTGGCCAGGAGCTTTCCCTGGGCACTGGGAGCCAGCAGGGGCTCCCAGAGAGATGGATGCAGGGAACAGGCGAGGTGCAGGGGTGAGGGAAGCCGAGGGGACAGGGCTGACCCCAGTGGGGCCGTGCAGGGGAGCAGCATTCCCCCCACTGCGGCGCTAATTAGAAAACACAACACAGCAATTACCGGCGGGAGCTGCGAATGAGGCACAGCTCCGGCCTTTAATGTTCTCCTCTCTGGTGCCAGGCACAGACTCACACCTCTCCTTTCCAATTATTACTGCTGGATTTGGGGGGAGAGAGAGGCAGAGGCAGAAGGAAACCCAATTACCCCCTGCAGTGGCAGGCTCCCTGCCCAGGGAAGCCAGAGGGAAGCCAGGTGCTGATGGGTTTGCTCCCACTCCGGCTCATCCGGGATGGCCAGGCAAGGACTGTGCCATGGGCAAAGGCATGGGAGGAGGAAAAGCATGGAGCACATCACTCAAGTGACACCAGAGCATAATGGCAAGGGAAGGAAGAAAGCTTTTCCATTAGATGTCATGGAGCTGTTTGAAAATGTGCTCCCAGGGGCTGGGATGGCTGTGGAGTCACAGCAAATCAGACACGGTGGCACTGCCAGCTCCTTCCCCTTCCAGCACAGATGGAGTGAAAAAACCCACAGGCAGCCCAGGGTGGGGGCTCCTCTGGGTGCTGGTGCCTCTCTCCTCTCCAGGTGGGCAGAGATCAGCAATCCTGCTGCCAGCACAGAGCACAGCACCAGGCCAGGCTCCTTCCCTCGAGCAGCATGGTTTACAGGGAGGTTTCCAGCATCAGTGAGTGTGAAACCAGAGCAGTTTCTGGATTTATACTCACCCAGCCATCCATGCCTTCTCCAAGTGCTGCTGAGCCCCCAAGCGCTCCAGGGCTGGTGGTTGTGGGAGCAAAGCCCTTTCAGGCTTGAGACATTGCCTTGTTTGCAGTCAGCCGGGCTTAACTCTGCACAAGACTTGAACCTCAGTCCTGAAGAGCCCACCAGCCCCCCGTGCCTGGCCTGGAGCTGGATTTTTGACAGGACACTGGGGTGTGTGGCCAAGGTGTGCAGCAATCCCAAATCTCTTGTGAAACCTCCATGGAGCTGCTCACAATTAATACAGAGAGGTTTGGGGGCCAAAAGCAAAGAGTGTTTGCTGCAGAGGCAGCAGGATGGCAGAGCCCCTGGTGACCAGCCATGCACACTGCTGGTCCTGGCTTCCTCTCCACAGGTCTATGAACAATAGTGTCCAACAGCTACTCTCTGAAATCCCAAGTGGAATCAGGAGCAGGAGGGGAGGGCAGAGGTGGGGAGGATGTGGCTCTGCCTGGGCTCCCCTGTCCCTGCAGGCCCTGCCAGCCAGGCTGGCAGATCTGGCCTCACACCTCGCTCTCCCAGGCTTGGCACATTTTCCTGCTGCTGGCTGGGAGGGATGACAGCCTCCACAAACACTGCAACTCCTATTTCCTAAATGAGAACCTTTGTTTTGTGCCCATCCAGATTTGTGGGAAACCAGAAAAAGCCTGTGCTGGCCCTGGCTGAGCCACAATCCACAGGGCTGCAGAACAGAGACAGCCACGAGCTCTCCTTTGACAAGTCACCCCTTCCAAGCTCAGCAGGAACACAGGGTGCATCCCAGGGATGCCAGCAGGGACATCCCCTCCCTCCCACCCACAAGAGGTGCAGCATTTCTCCATGGCAGTGCTGGCTATCAGCTGCTCTCCTGCTGCTTTGGCAGCTCTTCCAGCTGCCATCCTGCTTCCCTGGCTGAACACAGGCAGGAAAAGGAGATTTCTCCTCCTCACTGCAAGCTGGCTGCAGGTCAGAGGAACATCACTCCTTGGGATTGTAATTATATCCTTCTGGCACAGGCCAGCTGGGAGGCAAGTCCTTTGCCTGCTAATTATAGGACATTATATTGCTATTAACCAGCACATTGCAGCTCAGGAGACAACCCACAGCTCACCTGGCTTTGCCTGGTCACCAGAAGGAGCCTGCACATCCTTCACCAACACAGCCCAGAGGCCATGGGACAGAGGAGAACGGGCAGGTGAGCTCCTCTTCCCTCCCCTTCCTCACTCCCTGCTCTCCAGAAAACCCCACAGCTTCAGGCAGCAGTGAAGGCTGCTCGTTCATGGGACAGGTACCTACAGATCAGGGTGAACCTGGAATCAGAGTGGTTTGCTTGGAAGAAACCTTAAAGCCCATTCTGTTCCACCTCCTGCCATGGGCAGGGACTCCTTCCACTGTCCCAGGTGGCTCCAAGCCCTGTCCAGCCTGGCTTTGGGCACTGCCAGGGATCCAGGGGCAGCCACAGCTGCTCTGGGCACCTGTGCCAGGGCCTGCCCACGGAACAGCTTCTTCCAAAGGAATTATAAACATCTCTCCAGCTGGGAAGTTTTCCCTCCATTTCAACCCCTTCCCAGTCTAAAAGAGCAGCACTTAAACTGCAAAATCCTTGGGACAGGCCAGATTGTCCATCCCTGATGGGCATTTTCAAGTCCCAGACACAGAGATGTGTTCATCTGACTTGATCATGGTGCACCCCAAGCCATGAGCTGGTCAAGGACTCTTGGGTTGCCAAGTACAACAGACACCATGAATCTGTCCACTGCCAAAAGCACAGAACATCTTGGAAAACAACCACAAAAATCACCCTGAGTCTTCTGCAGATGTGTACAGAGGTCCCACTGCACAGAGCAGTCCTAAATCCCCCTCTCTGGTTTATATCCCTTCAAGAAAAACAAAACAGAAAACCATGCTGAAAAACTGATTAGGAAAACCTTTCTCAAGGCTGCCAACCTTCTCCTGGGTTGCCACCATCTCCTCCTCCTCTCCTCTCGCCAGCCCTGCCCATCTCCCCCTGGTGACTGCTGGCAGCCCCAGGCCGGAGCTCAGGCAGGCAGCGTGACCGCTCATCCCAAACAGCTCTGGGCAGGGATGAGGAGTCCAAAAGAGACACAAGTCCTTCCCTCCCCTCCCTGCACAGCCTCAGCCCCAGGAGCAGGCTGCAGCCACATGGAATTCACTCAATCCCTTCTTTTTTTTCCCCCCTAAACAGGACCTTCCCCCTCCGGAAGCCCTGCCACACTCTGCCTCTGCATTTGC